CTGGCGGACTTGGTTCTATGGTAGGTCTTAAAGGGTTAATTAAGGACACATTTAAATGCCATCTGCGGCTTTGAGGAATCTGTAAAATATTTCCAAGACATAGAAAATTGGCACATGGTCCGAGAATACTATATTACCAATACTTGAATCTATAGAGTTATTCACTAAGGCTTCAGAATAAGAAAGTAGTCGATTCTAGTATAAACATTATGAGGCGGAGAGTAAAGGATATTCCCTGCCTTCTGGATGCATTGTCCGCCAAATATCATTCAGACCTTAATCTGAGGTCATCTGCCTTATGGCAACTACAGATTTACTCTCTGTGCCTCTCCTAGGAAGTGATCTATCTAGGTCTTGATCCAGTATTTGATTAAATCTCTTCCTACCACTATTTGTGCACCTTCTAATTCCAAAAGATACTGTGACAGGTTGTGAAAAAAGGCGAGTATGTCCGCATTAGGTGCTAGATATTACATAAAATTATTGTGTGTCCAGTAGTTGTCCATAAACCAATATAAATCTACCTTCCTTATCTGTTATTACTTTTGTTTCAGTAAGCTAACTGCTTTATGAATCAGAACCGACACTCCCCTACTTTTACCAGTTCCAGACTGGAAAAAGCTTTACTACCCAGGAACATTTAAGTTTTAAGGCTTCTGACTTACACGTGTGCATTTCTTGAATAAAGGCTATATCAACTTTGATAACTTAGATATGTTAATATTTCTTCTCTTAATCCCGTTTTCACCCCTTACATTCCAGCTGGCTATTTTGAAATCTGTGTCTATCCATGTTATATGTTGTCTCCTTGACCTGGAGACAACATATAAGATGACACCGCCATGGACCTCAACCTGCAGGCTTTTGTGTTTCCCGTCTCTTTATACAGGAGCATGTAGGGGTGGACTGCCTTTTTATTTGATTACCTTTTCTCATGTTTTTCTTGTTAGGGAGATAAGACATTGTCATTTGGTTTTATTCTTTTCATAAATAAGTTTTGTACATCCTTTAGATACGGTCCCTTTTGTTTGTTGTTTTGGGGTCCACCCGAAGCTATAGTTCGCTCCTTTCCTTTGTTAGAATTCATCCTGTGAAAAAAATCACCATCAAATTGTACTGGTTGTGTGATGTGCTGCTGGGGTCAGACAGGGTGGATCACCTTATATTATGGTCTGGCCACCCTTAGAAAGGCCATAACACTAAAATGAAAATTAAAACTAGACTTATAACTGGCTGGTGTCCTTACCAGTGACCTTGGGTCTGAACTGTGGGCTCCTCTTTCCAGGTTTCGTACTGCCTGAGTGGGACCAAGATGTGCTGTCTTGCCTCTTTTGGGTTTCTGCATGTTTCTGGCTCAACATGCAAGTATCCACTTCTTGACGTTCGCTGTTGGTTGCAGCCACTTGAGGTTTTGGGCTCATTTGGGTTCTCAACACTGGGTGACTTTGATGGAGTGAAAGCATCCTCACAACATAATCACCACCTACTGCTTTTGTTTCAGATTTTTCTGTATCCTTGTTAACATGTTTGGGTACTGGGTTTACCTGTAATGCATTTTGTGCTCCAAAAGCTGTTATTTGTGCAGCTGTGCTCCAAAAGCTGTTAGCATGACCTTTTTTTCATTAGATTGTGCCACACCAGCACCTGAGAGAAAAGCTGTTGAGTTTGATTTTGTGTTTGTGTTTTGCAGGCACTCAGGAGAATAAGTCATGATGTTCTTGTGTTTGTCATGTTAGTATCTCAGTGCTTGTCAATCACCAGTCAACAGTGTCACCACTGTGAACAACATCCTTCGACTGTTCGGGCCAAACCTTGGAGAAGTCCCTGCAGCCGCTTCAAAACTCATCACTGAGCTCGATCTCTCTTTTTAACACGCTGGAGACAACATGAAAGATGACTTTCTTTCATATGCTGCTTTGACGGCTTTGTTCGTGAATAACAACAGATCAAAACCATCCATGAAGAGACATTTCACCCGCTGATTAATTGGAGAACGGACTCACAACCAGTTGGAGACTTTGTCTCTGGATGGTTTCAGAACCTGATTTCTCTCCACTAGTTCAATCTTTTGGGAAACAAATATACAACACTGGGTCCGGGAAACCTTTTCCTGCCACTGAGGAGCTTGAAGACCTCCATTTTTGAGGAGCTTTCCTTCAGTCTGTCAGTGAAAGGGATTTTGTTGAACTTGAAACTGCCGTGACCCTGTCCAAGACCAGCTGGCACCTGGCCGGGTCAGTCATGGATATTCACAATACCCCTAGTACTGGTGGAAGACATATCGAGGGAAAATCCATGTCAGACCATGTTCAGTGTGTCGTGACACTTGCACGATGGAAGAACCACCCACTTGTTGGTGCCAGAAAGCCACTGAGAAATTATTGTTTTAGCTGGCTATTACAAGTCGATGGCTGCTCACCTGGAGTAGGATAAAACTCTGGAGCGAATAATTGCCCGATTTACTGACAGGAAACGTTTAGACTTAAGCTTTTATTGTCATTGTGCAGTTCTTGCACAGTGAAATTGGGTAGTGGAGATAGAGCCGCTATTGTGCGCACCACCTTGCATTTTTTGCATGTTTGCTGTGTCACTTTGGACTTTGTACCTGTAGCTAACATTTGCAGCTAAATATTATTTAAAGCAGAGCTGCAACTGATCGAGGGAATATGTCTGAAACTTAAACTGAACTCCAAGGTACCATTGCTCCAGCTCACATCTTTACCTGAGTGAATCAGTTTGTTGAACAATCTAATGATTCAGAACTCTGTGACACACTTACTAAGGCTCATTACAGATTACAAACCTGCTGAATACTTTTATATTTTTTATTAGTTATTTTTGTTTTGTTGTTATTTGTATTATAAACATAATAAAGATTATATTTCTTTGGTTTTTAATTTAATTTATTTACATAAATTATAATATTATATAAAACAAATTAGTGCTGTCAGCGTTAGTCTTTTACTATGACGTTAACGCTGACAGCACTAATTTGTGTTCCCAGAGAGCCAAACTGGTCGAAGGACGTCTCTAGTGATTTTGTTTTAACCTCCTAGGACTGGTTCCATATGTAGCATACTTTGGGTGTCTAGACCAAATACAAATTTGCTCTTCAAAACCTGATCATTATGAGGGACATGACATGCACTGTTCATCGAATTTAAAATGAATGTCCTCATATGTGGATCTCATTCTTTTGAGAACAAAAAAAGATAGTCGAATCTGATGTCTTGGTTTTTACCTTCATCGGTCCAATCAACCTAAATGGCACAGAGGAATTAAAATGCTGCCATGAAGTTCAGTTTAGGAGGTTAAAATGTCCTGCTGATGAACCAGTGAATGTGGGCGACGGTGGCAGAAAAACTCCCTCTGGAGGAAAATCTTGGAGGACCAGGCTCTGGCAGACCCTCCCTCTGAGGCATATTACTATCTTGTCCTCCAGTGTCGATGGTGGGCTGGGACGACTGCTTTTCCTTCTCGCATGATGATGACCTTAATTCCTTCTTCCTTCCATTTCCTGTTTCAGAATGAGAATGAAGACAAAATGGTTAACAAGGTAACAGGACATTTAAATTCTCTCACTTCAGGATGAGATGCTGTGTCTTCTTACGTTTCTTGTAAACAGGATGTAGGCCGACTGCTGCTGTTCCTCACAAACTGCAGATCCAGTGTGTGGAGCACCTGTGCGTCATTATAGTGAGCCAGCGATCTGATGTAGAGTGCTGACTCTCCTCAGGATGGACAGAACTACAGATGTAGTGTCCTGAAATCACATTAAACAATGAATCCAACTTCTGGAAGTCAACTGATTCAAGCAACAGTGATTTTGACTTAGTGCTTCTTAGAACATCAAAGCTTTTGTGTGTGAGTCTTCACTGAAAGTAGCAAGTTTCATTTTCTGTTTGTCACAGTCTGTTGTTTACCTGACTCTGGCCTCCATAATGACTGATGATGCTGCAAGACTATAACAGCCACCACCCTGAGAAGGAACAAATCCAAAGGTGTTAGTTTCATAAAGTCTCACATCAGTGCCATAATTAAGCTGATTTGCTGAGGCTACGTCCACACTAATGCGTTTTCGTTTGAAACGCATCGTTTTCTCTCCGCTTGACCTCCCGTCCACACCGAGACGGCGTTTTCCTCAGGAAAAACACAGTCTTGAAACGCTCTCGAAAACGCATACATTTCAAACGAGTTGTCCCATCGCAGTGTGGACACTCGAAACGCAGACTTTCTAAACGATGACGCATTTTGTCATGTGATGCAGTCATGTGAGCAATTAACAAGATAAGCGAGTGCATTAGACAGCAGTTGTTTTGATGCTCTCAACTTTGACAGCCCTAAAAGATATATCAGTTTGTACATGCTCCGGATAGCTTTCTTCAAATTCTGTAATTCTCACTCACTTTGCGCATGCGCAGGACTGGAACGTAAGCGTTTCGGCCGTGTTCATGCGCGCAATATTTGAAAATGACTGAAACGCCAGTGTGGAACGGGTTTTCAAATCTATCCGGGCTAGTGTGACGTAGCCTGAGACGTCTGCAGTCTGTTTTACTGATGGATGGCACACCAATCCCTCTGCAGCCTGCGGGTCATCACTTCTTATCTTGTAGGTTTGTGTAAGCCAAACTCTTCAGATGCAATCAGAACTCTGGCAGAAAGAAAAAACACAAACAAGGTAGAAATAAGAAGTGAGTGTCAAACAACAGAGATGGGAGAACGACTGCTCAGTATTGTTCGAAGACTCTGATATTTGATGCGCCACAGTTTGGAACCTGGTCAGTCGATCATTCTGATGTGACCTTATCACCTTGGCAGTGTATCAAAGACGACTTCAGTTCTGAGGCCGTCCCTCCACATCACAGCGAATTCTATTTTTGTCTGACCGCACAGAGAGACGGCTTTATGGTAGAAAGAATCTCAATATGCACACAATGCACACCATAACAAAAAATGTGTTAGATCGCTGATACGACACTCTATTGGATTTGATCTTACCTTCAGTTGTCTCTAATGTTTATATAGACCCCTCTGAACAAGTCTAGAGACAAGCTGGTGAATTCCTCTTGCTGTGATGATTGGTGACCGCAGCTACACATTTCAGGAGTACGTAGTTAAGTAAGATCAGGTGTGGAAAGAGTATATGAAATATTGCAACAGCTCTGCGTTTCTGAAAGACAGGCTTACCTCTTGCATGTCCTCATGTTTTCCATTTTAAAAATGTGATGGTCTTCTACTGGGCAGCTATAACTTTGGCCCAGGAGAGCTGCGTTCCTCTCCAGGTGAGGTGTGAGCCTTTTGACCTCATCGAGGAATAATGTTAGGAATTCATGAGCGTCCTGAAAGAAAAGCAGAGAGATTTAAAACAGTACATCAAAATCAGAAGGTAAAGCAAAAAACGAAATGTCCAAATAGCTGACGCACTTTCTGTGCACTGCCGGTGTATTCAGGAGCTTGACTGCTGAATGCCTTCTTAAAAGCTCTTAGGTGGTGATCTTTAAGGCCATAATCTGTTGACTCGTGACAGTCCCTGACATCAATAAGCCTTCTGTAGAAAGGAAGGGTAAACAGACATTTCTGCTGTTAGATCTCTTTGTTCTTCAGGTTTTTGAAGTAGAAGGTTGACGTAGCGCACCTTAAGAGCTGAGCTTCTGGATCGTGCTCCACAAAACCCCTGACGCCTGATGTCTCTTATGAACTCCTCATGTTGAGGGGCTCTGCAGGCAGGAGTTCATGTGCGTGTGTTCATGGGACAGGTCGTTTGTTTCCGATGTTTGGAAACCTGACACACACGCGCAACGTTTACAGTATCAGTGTAAAAATAATTCATTTTCTCCACTTTGACAAAGTGAGTCTTTGTGCACCACGTGTACTCACCCGAAGCAGTCTATAGTCCCAGTTTGACTTTCTATTTTTTTCCCACCGCATGCTACACTGCTCCAAAAAGGTAAAAACACAAACACAAAATTAGGAAAGATGTCAAGATTCTGAGCAGTGTATGCGCATGTATGCATGAGCTTTGAAGTTGAAACATTTTGGAGGACGTCCAAAAGTAGTAAAAAGATGTAAATACACAAGGTGGAAGAAAAATGCCAATAAAAGGGAAATAAAACAGCTCCAACTAAACCACTGCTATAAATATCTCCAGCAGCATTAAAGAGCGGCGCATTTCTTTACCTCTGATGAGACGTAGAAGGAATTTCCTTCTCTGCCACGTTTTGTTTGTGTAATTTCTGTTTAGAAACAAGAAAACCAACATCAGTAATGGCATAAAAAAACATACCAAGGGAGTCTCTCCATGAAAAGTGTCCAGTTAGAAAATTTGGTATTATTTCATATTATTTATCACTTCAGTGAGCTGTCAGCTCATGAAGCAGATATATAGGAATATCTTTAAATAAATTAAAAACAATTTATTCATGCTTTAAATTGAGTTTTAAAGTTTGTCCTATGAAATACAAAATCCTTCATTTGGTTTTGATCAAAATTCAGTTTTTACAGAAATCATCCATCAAACTTCATTAAAAGATTCAAAAATGCTTATTTACCATAAAAAATATTTAGAGAAACATCCTGCAAGTCTCTTCAAACTTACCTTTCTGTGAAAAAAAAAACGTTTAAACATCTTTGAACCTAATTTGAGGACATGGATGTGCTAAATTGCTCTTAATTCTTCGCATTTAACTGTGGTGAGTAAATGCTTGATGACAGTGACTCTTTCCATAAAACATACCTTCCAGAATTTAAAAAGAAACCAGCGACACTTTTTTTGTGTCTTCACAGTGTTGCTCTCTGCCTCTGCATCGCTGTCAGTTTGCTGCAGAGGACGAACAAACATAAGTTTATTAAAAAAGTAAAGTCACTTTAAATTAACAAGTGCAATTTAAAGAGAATGTGCATTTCATATGTTTCGTGTAAAAGCAAACCGAGGAACAGCAGAGGTGTCTCCATTTTCTCTTCTTCTTTTGACCATTTTCAGCAACACAAGCATCCGGGATGCTGATGAGGACAAAAGTGTAAATGTTATTTTTCAAAGTGGAAATTTTTACAAGGAGTACATGCTGGAGATGCAGATAAAAAATAACTGTAATGAACAAATCATGTTTTTGTACATTACACTCTACATTCAAACGCTAATCTCTGAATCAATAGAAATTATAGACAAGACTAGAAGTAGTAAAAAAGATGTAAATACAAAACACCAATAAAAGGGAAATAAAAGAGCTCCAACTAAACCACTGCTATAAATATCTCCAGCAGCATTAAAGAGCGGCGCATTTCTTTACCTCTGATGAGACGTAGAAGGAATTTCCTTCTCTGCCACGTTTTGTTTGTGTGATTTCTGTTTAGAAACAAGAAAAGCAACATCAGTAATGGCATAAAACAAAGTATATGGTAAGAAAATACAATATCCTTCATTTGGATTCAAAATTCAGTTTTTACAGAAATCATCCAAGAAGCTTCCTTAAAAGTTTCAAAAATGCTTATTTACCATAAGAAAACATTCAGAGAAATGTGCTGCGAGTCTCTTCAAACTTACCTTTCTGTGAAAAAGAAGTTTAAACATCTTTGGACTTGATGTGATCGCAGCCAAAATCTCCTCAGCTTTGCAAAAGTTCAACTGAAAACAAGCAGTCAAAGGTTGTATATTTATAAACTTTCAGCATAGAACGTTCATACCCTGAACAGCAAACATGTTATGGGGGCATTTGCATATTTTGGAATGTATGCTCATTTGAACTGTATGGTGCTCGTCTCCAAGCAACTGCTACAAAACAGGTCAAGTCAAGTGGCTTTTATTGTCATTTTAACCACGTGCAGAGGTACTGTACAGAGTGAAATGAGACCGCGTTCCTCCGAGACCCTGGTGCTATATATGACATATACGGACAAACCCAGGACTACATAAAGTGCAGTGTGCATAAATTGCAAAAATAAACAAGACAAAACAGTGCAAAACTAGACAGAACAGGACGATACAGACACAAGACAATGGAAATGTGCAAAATGCTGAGTATTGTGCAAAAGTAACTTGGTGTCTGTATGTATGTGTATGAGTGTGAGATACTGCAGATAAGTGCTTGGTAGTGACATGTGTGAAGGTGTGCGTGTGCCAGTGCAGTCACTGAGTGTTCAGGGGTCTGACGGCTTGTGGGAAGAAACTTTTCCGTAGTTTGGTAGCGAGGGCCCGGATGTTCTGGGACCTCTTTCCAGAAGGCAGCAGGGTGAAGAGTGTGTTTGAAGGCTGTGTGGGGTCCTCCAGCAAGCGGGTGTTATAAGGAGGGAGAGGGACTCCAATGATCTTCTCAGCTGCTCTCACAATCCGTTGTAGGGTACTGCGATCTAATACGCTGCAGTTACCATACCAGACAGTGATGCAGCTACTTAGGATGCTCTTGTTAGTCCCACTGTAAAAGGTGGTGAGAATGGATGGTGGGAGATGGGCTTTCCTCAGCTTCTGCTTGAAGTAGAGACGCTGCTGGGCCTTCTTGGTTATGGAGCTGGTGTTGAGGGAGCAGGAGAGGTTCTCCGCCAGGTGGACACCAAGAAATCTGGTGCTCTTGACGACCTCCACAGAGGATCCATTCATGTTAAGTGGGCAGTGATCCCACTGTGCTCTCCTGAAGTCAACAATCTCTTTTGTTTTGTCCACGTTCACAGACAGGTTGTTGACTCTACACCTCTACAGATGGCCCGCAGTGCAACCCTTCAGCTTCCTACTAGATTCACCTATATACAAATTTAAAGACCTAGGAGACTTACTTCTCGTCACAGAGTTGTAGCATTCACAAGATTTTCAGAAAACTTGAACTCAAGGTCAAGGTCACTGATATTCAAACTGACCCCAGAACTTTAGTAGATGCACCAATGGTATCAATTCAAAATCCTACGCTTCTCGTTCCATTTTTATTTCACTATCTGTAACTAAGACAAATAAACAGTATTTGGCACACAAGTCACTATTAAAGTGGTTCGTGAGACTCCACATCTGATAACAGTATAACACACTGCTTATTTATGTAAAATTGTCATCAATAAATGTGTTCAAAACAGAAGCTACACTGGCTTTAAAAGTTTTTGTTAACTCTGACTACCTGTCTGCTCTTACCAGTTTCTTTTGCTCTCTGCTGTCTTCATCCTCCATCCAACTCTACATTGTATTGTTAGGGATGACATGATGAAACTGAAGGGTGTCTGGGCACCGAAAAAAGAAAAAAAGAGAGAGACTGGATTAGGCTGCAGCTGGCGTGCCATTCTCTCACTTCAGGATGAGATGCTGTGTCTTCTTACGTTAATCTTGTAAAACAGGATGTAGGCTGAGTGCTGCTTTTCCTCACAAGCTGCAGATCCAGTTGTGTGGAGCACCTGTGCGTCATTATAGGTGAGCCAAGGATGTAGAGTGTGGACTCTCCTCGGGACGGACAGAATTACAGATGCAGCAGCTGTTTCCGATGTATGGAAACCTAACACACAAACAAAAGTTTACAGTATCAGTGTAAAATAATTCATTTTGTCCAGGTTGAGAAGGTGAACTTTGGTCCTTGTGCACCACGTGTACTCACCTGAAGCTGTCTGTAGTCTGAATTTTATTTTCCATTATTTATCCACCGCCCAAATGTTGCTACTGCAAAAAGACAAACAAACACACAATTAGACACTGAGCACTGGATGTGCATGTATGCATGAGCTTTGAAGTTTAAACTTTTTTTATCATCAACAATTTTTATTTATTTCATTTTAAACTTCAATAACAGAGCTTAAGGATAACTACATAAATAAATAGTTTAAAAAAACAAACAAAAACACAAACAACAAAAAACAAAAAACAAAGGGAAGTTATCCTATTCTTTCTTCGCACACCAATTCCCACACCACCACTCTGTCATTACTCCTCTGTTCTTCAAGTTACAGAAAGCCAGCTTGTAAAGGGGGACCAAATACAATCATATTGATGCAATTTGTCTAATAAAATAAGTCACTTTTTCGTAAGACGCCAACTTAGCCATTGTCTTTAGCCACTCTTCATAGGGAGGGGGGTTCTTTTTCCGCCAATGTCTTAGCAGGACCCGTTTGGCCGTAGTAAGAGCCAAAATAATCCATCTTTTTGTATAACTGGAAAAATCTACAGGGAGTGCAGAATTATTAGGCAAGTTGTATTTCTGAGGAATAATTTTATTATTGAACAACAACCATGTTCTCAATGAACCCAAAAAACTCATTAATATCAAAGCTGAATGTTTTTGGAAGTAGTTTTTGTTTTTAGTTTGAGCTATTTTAGGGGATATCTGTGTGTGCAGGTGACTATTACTGTGCATAATTATTAGGCAACTTAACAAAAAACAAATATATACCCATTTCAATTATTTATTTTTACCAGTGAAACCAATATAACATCTCCACATTCACAAATATACATTTCTGACATTCAAAAACAAAACAACAACAAATCAGTGACCAATATAGCCACCTTTCTTTGCAAGGACACTCAAAAGCCTGCCATCCATGGATTCTGTCAGTGTTTTGATCTGTTCACCATCAACATTGCGTGCAGCAGCAACCACAGCCTCCCAGACACTGTTCAGAGAGGTGTACTGTTTTCCCTCCTTGTAAATGGCTGTAGCTCAGGTGGCAGAGCAGGTCAGCCACTAATCAGAAGGTCGGTGGTTTGATCCAGGCTGCATCCTGGCTGCATGCCAAATATCCTTGGCAAGATACTAACCCCATGTTTGCCTACTGGTGGTGGTCAGAGGGCCCGGTGGCGCCAGTGTCCGGCAGCCTCGCCTCTGTCAGTGTGCCCCAGGGCAGCTGTGGCTACAATGTAGCTTGCCAGTCGTGTGAATGTGTGTGTGAATGGGTGAATGACTGAATGTAGTGTGAAGCGCTTTGGGGTCCTTAGGGACTAGAAAAGCGCTATACAAATGCAGGCCATTTACCATAAATCTCACATTTGATGATGGACCACAGGTTCTCAATGGGGTTCAGATCAGGTGAACAAGGTGGCCATGTCATTAGTTTTTCTTCTTTTATACCCTTTCTTGCCAGCCACGCTGTGGAGTACTTGGACGCGTGTGATGGAGCATTGTCCTGCATGGAAATCATGTTTTTCTTGAAGGATGCAGACTTCTTCCTGTACCACTGCTTGAAGAAGGTGTCTTCCAGAAACTGGCAGTAGGACTGGGAGTTGAGCTTGACTCCATCCTCAACCCGAAAAGGCCCCACAAGCTCATCTTTGATGATACCAGCCCAAACCAGTACTCCACCTCCACCTTGCTGTCGGACTGGAGCTCTCTGCCCTTTACCAATCCAGCCACGGGCCCATCCATCTGGCCCATGTTAAGGTTCAAATATTGAGGAAGGAGAGTAAACACAACCATGGTCCAGAAGAGCTTGGTCAGACAATTGATTTTAATGAATACACGCGTGGGAAGACCAGTTCCGTTCGCAGACAGGGCTGATCTCCGACTTAATCAAAGCATAAACAGATGGCGGCGCGTGAACAACGCGAGGCTCAGTGTCTCTCCAGAATCTGCTATTTAGCGGTTTTTTATCTACTTTTAACCGGATTATTCGTCCAGAATTGCTGTGCGTTGCTGACCTACAGCAGACAAGAGCTTCTGGACATCTGGACTCACAACTCCAACAGTTTTATCGCCGATCTCCGACTCATCCAGAGATCTCCAGAACACCGGAGGCTGCCCACTCTCCCCGGCTGGGCGGAAGTGCACGCAGACGGCGCCGAGATCGTAAACAAAGGCGAGGTAGGCGCGGAGGCTACGGGCTAAGCTAAAGCTAACACCACACCGGCTGCCTTTACCCAGTATTTTTCTCGCCAATGTCCGTTCTCTGGCAAACAAAATGGATGAGATACGGCTCTCCATCACTAACAACAGACGGATTATGGACTCAAATGTCATGTTTTTCACCGAAACATGGCTGAACAACAGCTGCCCGGACAATGCTATCGAGTTAGCAGGACGCCACACACACCGAGCCGACAGGCTAGCAGATGACTCCGGCAAGACCAGAGGTGGAGGTTTGTGCATTTATATTAACAATGCTTGGTGCATGAACTCCACTACTACTGAGAGTCACTGCTCACCTAATGCGGAGTTTTTAATGGTCAAATGCAGACCTTATTATCTCCCCAGAGAATTCACTTCGATCATACTCACTGCCGTGTATATACCCCCGACGCTAATGCTAGGTTGGCCATGAAAGAACTTTCTGCAGCCATTAACAAACACCAGAATAAACACCCCGAGGCTGCTTTTATTGTTGCTGGCGACTTCAACCACACCAACTTAAAGACAGTCCTCCCCAGATTCCACCAACATGTCTCCTGCCACACCAGAGGAGACAAGACTTTAGACCATGTGTATTCCAACCTGGCTGGAGCCTACAAAGCCACACCCCTCCCCCACATTGGACAATCGGACCATCTCTCCCTGTTCCTCACACCTCGGTATTCACCACTCATCCAACGTGTGAAACCTGCTGTGAGGACAATTAAAGTGTGGCCAGAGGGGACAGACGCAGTGCTCCAGGACAGATTTAAAAACACAGACTGGAATATGTTCACCCACACAGACCTGGACCAGTACGCCTCATCTGTACTGGATTACATCTCCAA